TCTTCTGAACATCCTCTGCAAACTCATGGTTGATATCAGAGGGTGATTGCCTCAGAATTCTCTGTTCTTCCTTGCCCACAGTTGAGGCGGCAGGGAGAGGACGATCCAGGATGGAGGCTGAATTTGCTGTTCCCACTTTGTCTCCATGGAGAGATTTAGAGCTTCCTCTAAGGGAGTTGAAGCCCCCAGGTTTAGAATTTAGCTCAGAAATCGGGTTGGTTGAGGAGGAAAAGCTAGAATGGGAAGTGTCCTTTATCAATTTAAAGAGCTCTATGGATTCAAGGACCCTGGAGGGAAGGCCCCATGTCATCCTCATACGAAACCTTTTAATATGGGCTTCCAGCATCTGTTGTGTACTAGATTCAATAAAGGGAAGCTCCCGGAAGGTATTCAGGGAGTAGTCCTGAACCTCTGATGGTGGCAGACTTCTGGGTTTTATTTCAGTGTGGGAGTTCTCAGAAAGAAGCGACGTCTGCTTCATAGTATGCCATGAATTATGCACAGGCCTGGGGAGCTGACCCTCATTGATATTCTCAAACTTTTTGCTCAAATGTATTTTCAAGACATTTTCAAGTTGTCTCTGACCTATAGTCTCCACAGACACTGTTGAGTTTTTCTCTGATGGTCTCCTAAGTTCTTTTTCAGAATCATACCCCATATCATTACCTGAAGAGCTCTCTGGGTCACTCAACAGATAATCTTTTGGGCCATTCTCTGGGTTGTGTTCCTGATCCTTCTCCAGATCATCATTGTCCTTCTCCAGGTCATCGTCCTCTAGCTCCCCCTCATCGCTTTCAGATTCGCTCGATTTACTCTCACTCTTAGAGATCCATGTGCGCCCATGATAGCGCTGCAAGTTAGGTGTCTCTGAAAAAATACTCGGACCCATCAGTGATAGAGACTTACAGATCCTACGGGACAGGCCCCACTGGTGTTGGATGAGCCTCTTTTGAAGGTGACGCTCTAGTTTTGTTCGAAGCTCATCAGTGAGAGGAAACTGTCCAGGAAGGATAGAGATTGCAACACGGGCCTGGGAGGCCCGGTGATTAAGAGAAGGTTTAGGAGCTGAAGGACAGAAGTCCTCCTGGGATCTTTGGACAACAGCGGGTAAACCCCACACAGTTTCCTGTTCCTTCTGCAACACGTTCCATTCCAGATGTTGCATTTCAGTTGATATGAGAGACTCTGATTCCTTCTCAGGTCTGTGCAAACACACTCCACAGACCTTAATCTGGGTTAGAGGACCAGATGACATGATGGGGAGTGGGGACTGAAGGTGGGCCTGGGGCTGGACCTGAGGGATAGGTAGGGGCTGGGGTTGGGGCAAGGACAGAGGAAGAGGATGGGGAACAACTGGGGATTCCTGCTCTGTGGAGGCATTCGAGACTCTGTTAAAAATAAAGATGGAGGAACAATTATCTAAGACATGGGCAACAGAGAACAAGGACTCACTATGCAGAGTTGGGAGACCCCAGAAGAACTGGATAGGGGTTTGCTGTAAATGGCCCTCCTTCAAGGTGGGTGTAGGATATGGGGGCTGCCGATGCACATGCAGCTCCTTTGATTGATCTTTGCTGCTCCAGAAAGGAAGGGAAACTTCCAAGTCATGTTTTTCGGCAATTGTTTGTTTTGGAACAGAACTCTTTCTCATTTCCTTCCACATCCAGAAGTCACTCCTCTTTCGGACTTGTTTCTCTAGAAGTGCCAAGCCATCAGGGCTGAGAAGTGAGAGGTTAGCAGGCTCCACAAGCTTGGCTGCAGGGTCTCCCCTGGAAGAAGCCTCTGAAGAATGGAGGGCCAGAAACTCTTGATGGAAATCATATGGAGCCAAGGTTGAAGGCAAAAAGTCTTTGGCATGAGTTTGCCACGAAGGGAAGTCTAAAATTGACAATCTGGAGGGGTTAAAGCCTGTGATTGTTGGGACATAAGTACACAACCCACCAGAGCTATCTAGAGATAAGATCTCTGGAACAGGCTTCATTGAGATGGAAATCGATTTAGGTTGAGTCACAGTTAAACTGCAGTCTGGTGGTGGTGAAACAGACAGGGTTGGTGGTGCGTTATGACAAGCAAAGGTCTCAGTGGGATTTACCAACTGGGACAACTCCGGTAAGGGGTTGACATTTTGGGAAAGGGTAGAGTCCGGACAGAAGATGGTATTTAGAGACAAAGTGGCCTCTGGATGGACAACAGGATCCACTGTCTGAGCATCATTTGGTGGGATTGGAGGAAAGGCAAGGGACTGGGGTGGGAAATTGTCCTTTGGGAATTCGGAATCCAAGGGAGGAAAAGACTCTGGTGGCAAAGAGCCACCCGGTGGTGAGGGTGGAAAAAAGTCAGCCAAGGGGGTCACTGGGTTAGGTGAGAAGGTGGAGGCAGGTGGTGGGGAAGGCTCAGGCAGAGAAGCTGATATTAGGTCTCCTGGAGGGACTGCTGAGGAGTCAGGGGAGAGAGTGAACGATGAGGAAGTCACAGGGGCTGTGGAAGCCAAGGGAGTAGCATCTTCCAGGGCCTCCGGGAACAGCAGCCGATTGATCTCAGCAGTTGTGTTTTTACACACCTCACAGGAGGGGTCTGGACATAGCAGTTGTTGAAAGGAGATGGTATCATGATGCCGGCCTACTGGGCTGCAGGAGACAGGAGGTACAAAGCTGCAGCCAGGACCAGAACAAGGGAAGGGGGACATGCTGGCCCGGCAAGGGAGTGGCCACCTGAAGCCTGCTGCCCCTTCCCAGTGCCCCACCTTTATGACTTCACAATGTACTCAGTAGCCTTCACCCCAATACCTGTTCCTATGGCTACCCCCTCCCATGGCTATAGCAGGCTGCATTGAATCCTGCAATTGCATAAAACATACTCTAAGAGGGATCAGGATAGAAGGGGAAAGACTGGTCACCTTCTTAAAACAGAGATCAGCTTCCGGGCTTCCTCCACCTCTCTCTGGTAGCATCTGTAGTCTGGGAAACCAGGAGAATGGGATAGATGTAGTGAAAGTAGAAACATAGGTATTAGTACAGGAGTCCCCTTCTGGGACACCCACGGGATATTAGACTCTGAAAGCCCCAATAATCAATAGATGAGGTCAAATGGTCAATGATGTGATCCTGGTTAGTATTCTTGCTTCATGGATAAAGTACTCTCATGTAAATTATCTCATGTGATACTCAGACCACCTCTGTGAAGCACAGAGGTCAGTGGTTACCTCAGGGAAGAATCCTGAGTATCCATGATGTCACAAGGCTTTCACAAAGTCAGGAGACAGAAGTTTTGCCTCTTGACATCTCACACAGCCACCTATTGGGCAACGCCCACTGCCCAGGCTCAACAATGCTTCATGCTCAAGGATGGGCAGAGCAGGGACTCTAAGGGTCTCAGGTTCTGACTGCTCTGAGGCCTCTGTTTTCTAAGAGGGACTGTATCTAGCAGCTGACCTCCTCAGAGATCATGGACCTGAGCCATCATGGAAAGGACAAGGAAGGGTCGCCCTTGGAGAGCTCAGGTGGAATATGCAGAACCTTACCTTTCAGAGTCCCACCTTTCCTCCTCCTCTTGGCTCTGCCCCGACGCTAGAACAAAAATAGAACAATGAGGGGTTGGGACTCATCTTTCACTCTTCTCTTAGAATGGAGACATTCTTTATCCAAGAATAGTAGGACTTTATTTTAATTAACAGAATTTTGTGTTCCTTGCTTTTATCAATTTTTAAAGGTGATAAAATGGAAGATTTTGTCTGGGAGGTCCACACCTGATATTCTCAGTCAGAAGTCCTTTGTTCAGTAAGGACATAGAAAATGAAGTCCGGGGCGCCTGGGTGGCAAAGTCAGTTAAGCATTGGCCTTTGGCTCAGGTCATGCTCCCAGGGTCCTGGGATCGAGCCCCACACTGGGCTCCCTGCTCAGTGGGGAGTCTGCTTCTCCCTCTCCCTCAGCCCCTCCCCCTGACTTGTGCTCTCTCTCACTCTCTCTAATAAATAAAATCTTTAAAAAAAGAAAAAAGAAAATGAAGTCCAACAGTCACATCTGTGTTCCCTCAGGAGGACCCTGTATCCTAGGACATGGCTCAGACCCCAGTCTCTTCTCAGAGGCTCAGCACCGTTCTCCTGATCAGCCCAACATGAAGGAAGGCTTGATCAAGTGATGCCTGACATGGGAATGTGACTTATGATCAAATGCTGGGAAACGTTCTCTTACAGATTCCATACTCTCTAAATAAGGACTACAGAATCCCTGTGTTTGGGATTTTACCAGATAGCCTCTGAATTTGAAGTAGAAACCTTAGGCCTTCCTTAACCCTTAGCCCTGCCAGACCTCTTGTCCTAGAGGAGCGAATGTCTGTTCTCTTAGATTTCCCATTTTAGGTGTTTCTTTGATCCTACCAAACTCATTTTAAATTTTGGGATTAGGGGCTCAGTCAAGTTAAGCATCTGCCGTCACCTCAGGTCATGATTCCAGGGTCCTGGGAATCAAGCCCCACATCAGACTCTATGCTCCACATGGAGCCTTCTCCCTCTCCCTCTGCCCCTTCTGCCCAACTTGGGCTCTCTCTTTCTTATTTATCAAATATATAAATAAAATCTTTAAAATAAATAAGATTTGGGATTAGAAATGGAAACCATAATAATCTGTGTTGAGGGCTCCTTACCTTTTGGGTGGGTTTGGTTTTCCAAGTTGGAAATGGAAGGATCAGGTAGCACAGGAACAGAAGAAGCAATCCCAACCCACACAGGAAGGTGAAGTTGGGGTCAGTCTCTAACCATGTTGAGCTGAAGCTCAGACATGGTTCAGTATAGGTATTCAGAAATGAGAGAACATTCCAGTTTTTGAACTCCATTGTCTGAATCGCAAGGCTGCCTGTAGGCAACTGAGCTCTTAAGTGTGCAGAGGCTGAATATATATCCTCCCCAAGCTTATATCACAGAACACTTAAAAGTCACAAAGGGTTTCTCGGGGCGGGGGGTGGCAATTGAAGAGGGTGTGTCCACACCCCTCCCCCACCCACTATCCCAGAAGACCCCTCCACCCCTCCTAGGTCCTTCAGGTCTCTGCCCTACCCTGCCATCCTATTTTCCTACACCTTTTCATCATATCATACATGCTACCTTAATGAAATTTTCTAATTGTTCCATGTATAGCCCATATATTACCTGGGTCCCCCTTTACTGTTTAGAGACCTTGAGTTCGGTCTTATCAGTTCCACTGCCTGGAAAGTCTGCAAAACTACCTGGAATTTTTGCTTGTACCCTGACATTTATACTCAGGATCACATATGTTCTCAAATCCATCTTTCCTATAGAATGTGTTTGCCTTACATGAGCCCAGATACAGACCTTAAACGTCTTTCTTATTTATTTAGTTTTGTACATGTTGCATAGCACATTTTAGTTTTTTGTTTTAGCCTTTAGCACCTTCAGTCAGAGAAGCTGACTCAATTAAAATCAATAATTCATTATTAAATATTCCCAAAACTAAAATCAGTATAGAATAAATATAAATAATTAAACCTTCAAACGATCTTGGGGGTAAGTCTGTAGCACTTACTTTTCTGAAGTTAGGGAAGCTTAATCTGCATAAAACCTTTGGGGTAATGCTTGCCCCCCGCCCTCTCCCCCCCCCCACAACACACACACAGGCAAGAGTGGGGAGAGGGGCAGAGGGAGATCTTCAAGCAGACTCCCTGCTGAGCATGGAGCCCAATGCAGGGCTCCATCCCACAACCTGTGAAATCATGACCTGAGCCAAAACCAAAAGTTAGGCACTTAACCGACTAACCCAGGCAGCCCTATAACTTCACATTTTAAATGATAAGCTTCAACTACTCTTCATGATATTAAATGAATATAGATTATAGAACTTGAGATTGGACTCTGCCTAAATGCAGCAGTATTTTCTGCCTACAGACACTGATTAAAGTACTTACCTTGTTTTTTTTTTTTAGGTATATTGATCTTAATTCAAAGCAAACACAACAAAAATAAAGAAAAGCCTCATTATTGATTTTAAGGATTCTTTTCCTTTTCCATTTGCTCCTCCCTTAGTTGGCATGTTGTTATACACTATTCCTACAATTGGCTCCTGGGAACCTGTGGTAAATCACAAACAGTAAATCCTGAGTTGGTATTTACTGGTTTGGCAGTAAGGTGGCATCTCTTAACGAGCTGTGAGGGAATTAGCTGAGGTGCGACTACAAGAGAATACATTCTGTATAAAAGGGAATTGAGTTTTTCCTCCTTGTGCTGTCAACTCCTCTCAGGCTTAAGAACAGCCCCTCCTCCTCACTCAGAGCATTCTATAGGATAACCAGGCTGTTGGGATCACGGAACCACCTGAGGGCAGTTTAGGGAACTGTCTCTTCTTTATTGTGCCCTTTTCTTCCCCATGGTCATCTCTTTTATTTCTTCAGAGAGGGGTTATGTATACTTGAGACTTCTCTACTTTCTGTAACCTCGATGACTCACTAATCTCACACAGAGAAACCAAAATGCTGTGGTTTTGTCCAATCCCTCCCACATTCACCCCTTTTCACTGCCTTACTTCCATCTGTTCATAAACACAGCAAAACTATAGAGAACTTTCTATATTTGTGTTAAAGAAAATCAAATGCATACACCTTCAAGGAAAATTATATGTATTCAAAGAATTCACTCTTTTTAAACTCTGAAGAGCTATATAGAAATATGGCACTTCCAAGCTGTATTTCACATACTTCCTGGTTTAATCAGATGAACTTACTTCTATCGTGATTTAATCAGAAAAATGTATGTTACTGTCACTATCCTTGAAAAGTAATGAGGTTACCCTCATTCATCCATTCATCAGTAAATATTAAGTGCCTCTTATAGGCTGGGCACTATTTTAGGAACTGGAGAATATAGCAGTGAATAAGACAGACGTAGTTCTCAAAAAAGTTATATTCTATTGTTTATGTGCATGGAGTTGGGTAGTCGAAGAGGGCATTAAAGTTCTTTCTCATTCTTTGTCCAGGGTATTTAGGTTTCGTTCACTACGGCAGACCAGCATTCAGCAGGCCTCAAATGTCATCATTTGGTTTGATGGTGGCCTGGGATGCTAACTGAAGTACAACCCACAAGCCTCTGTATTATCTTTTGCTTCCAAAAACTTTTTAGATCTTATATTTTTCTCAACAACGTCTGGAAGACAACTCTGTATGCATCTGTTGTGCTTCTGCACATCTCATGAGCGAGGCATTTCCTGCCCTTTGTTTCAGGCTGTCTTTTCAAGGATATTTATATATAGAAGAGTCTTAGTAGATAGAGTGTCTCCCTCAGGAGTAAAGGGCAGGCATGCTTCCTGTCCAATATAATAAAGATGATGTCTCCCTCTGGAATAAAGGGAAGGCCTGCCTAGTGCTCATTATAAAAGATTCAAGTTCCCCAACCTCCGGGTTCCTCTCTTGTAATGCAACCCTCTGCGTGGACAGGTATCTTCTTGCTTTCTTCACGTCACCCTGTGGGAATTGGGCTTCGTGGAACTACCGCAAAAATGCCAATACTCTAGCTACTGCTGTTGCTGCGAGTTATAAACTGCCCTTCATCTATGACCCAGGAGTTTTGGGTCTTCTGCCGTCATCCATGAAACTCGGCAGGATAACCTGTTAGCTGGCAAATGGGAAAAATCTCAGACCTTTCACACCTCTTGAAGGTAACTTCGTGAAGGAAACCATATTGAAATGAATGCTATTCCAAAGGTCTTATTGGTAAATGATTATTCACTACTCTAGAGCTTAAAAGGGAATAAGGCAGGGATAGGAAGAGGTGATGTTTCCTACATTCCAGTTCTTGAGAAACATGGCTGCATTCCCCACATTTGGAGGGGACAGTGGAGTCGGAGCTGCGAGAACAAAAGGGAAATGTTGATGTATCTCCTTCGGCACTAATCTTTTTTGGAGTGACTATTTTCATGTGCGTTTTAATAAAATATATTCTCTAATATGATGCCTTTTTAAATACAAATATTAAACAGGATTCCAGCCTTCTGCAGGAGGCAAGCTCCTCATTGCAAACGTAATTTACTGTATTTAACTACAGCTGTGTTCTTGCTGCTTTGCAGATGCCTTAGGCTGACAACTAACTTTGCTGTCTCCTTTCAAGGTGTTGAGTGCCACTTCACCAGAACACAGCCTTGTTCTCTTGTTACTTCTTGTCTGCAGACCCACATTTTTAGATCACAATACTGAATTTCACACAACTTCTGGGCCCCATTCTCCCACGGAGAGGAGGGCAGCCTCTCCTACGTAGTAAGTTGGCAGCTCCCTGAGACTTTTACACTTTGGGCTGTGTCTTACAGATAGATGTGGTGGATGTGATGTGTTATCATCTTCATTTTCTAGATGCCTCTCCTTTCCAAGTTTTAAAAATTGTCTTGTGTATCACTTATGAATTAACTGTACAGTGAGTCACTTTTCTGTGTGTGCTCTGATGTCTGTTTTGCAACGG